TATTTCTTCTGTCTGCCTTTTCTTACTTTATATAATCTATGGAGGGAGAAGGTGGTAAGAACAGGAACTGATTGCCTTCACCAAGCACAAAAAATTCTGAGTTTTCATTCTCTGGAGTTGAAAAGGATCGATAAGTAAACAGTAAGGGCTAAGAAATTTAGAGCTAGTGTTGTGTTCCACTGTTTTAATTAAAAGCTAGAATGTCTGGCCTACGATTCTGTTGTGCAAATATTGCCAAATTTGGTTTCACAGGCGCTGAAATATACCCTTTTCTGCGCTGTTGGATTCACTGTAGAAACATGTGAAACATGTCGAACTGGTTAGCAACAAAATTGAACTGCCTTGTTGAATTTTACTTCCTAAATATTGTGTTTAAAAAAAAAAAAAAAAAAAAGGTTTTTTTAATCCTATAAATATTTCTAGTTCTTTATGGAACGTGGGGAGAAGGGTCTAATTTTTTAAAGGATCTGTCACCAAACGATTAAGATTCGTGTGTTATTTATTGATTTCTGTATATGCACCTGAAGGCGTTTCAGCAAAGAGGTCAAGTGCTAGAGCTGTCCTTCCAGATGGAGAAACCGAGGCACGCAGTGGAAATCTCTGCCCACTACTCAAGTCGGTAAGAGCTTGGCACTGAAAGGAAAATTTCTAATTCCTGTTTCGGTGGCCCAGCTGCTAGGCCATGCATCTTGCGGGAAAGCATCTTTATACCTTCTGCATGTCAGTTTGATACGTACCAGTGCCTCTTTGGTGTCTGGACCTCTTAATCTGGACCTCTTTTTCGTAAGTGCCTCTCAGAAACAAGCAAAAAGGTTTTCTTCTATTATACATCATTTCTGTCCTGCCCAGTGGTTTCCGGTACTGGTGTATGCCTTGGGTCTTTTTTTTTTTTCCACACTGCTTACTGCTTGTTAACATCTTAATAGACACAGTAGGCAAGTGTCAAAAAACAAGCCTGCACAACAGAAACAGTCGTTGCTTGAGATCGGTATAAAAACCCAACCAGACAGGAAAACGATTTTACTGTGCAGATGTGTGTGTTTTTTCAGAGCTTGCTCTGTGGCACACAAGGTGCTTAAAAAAAGCAAAACAAAATAAAAACAAAACCAACTTGATTTAGTCCTGTAAAACAAACTGATTCAAAAGCCCCATCTAAATATGCGTTTTGCTGGGATAGGCAGCGTGTAAGGAACGGTTGCCAGTGAAGCTGATTGTGCCCAGCTTGTGCTAGCTGAAATAATTCTCGTTTTTAAAACGACGGAAAGGGAAAAGACAACTTGAGTGAAGCAGTTTCTAAGAAGTGTTTTAAACAAAGTTAAGTCTCGTTCGTGCAGACGGATAAAAACTTGAATCTTTCAAATATGAGTCAGAAAAGCCTCATCTTCATTCTGATGAACTGCGCTTCACCGGTGTCCGTGTCGGGAATGACCTGTTTTGAAAATGAAGGCACTTGATTTTCCCTTCTCCAGCACCTGCTTCGAGTTTCTGCTCTTTGTGTGACTCTGGGCCACCTGTACCTATTTCACTCTTCCACGTGCTGTTTCTCATTCCTATAACTTTAATTTGTGGTCATGGGACTCAAAACCACATGAAGTTTAACGGTGTATTTTGTATGTTGATGACAGCACGCTATGGGTCCGCAGAGCTGGAAATTTTTACTACAATAGAACTTGAAATCATGAGGGCAGACTATAGTTCAGAAATAAGTCAACAATATCAAAACTTCGCCTTTTTTTTTTTTAACCGCTTGCAGTTATGCAGAAGTATTTTAGAGACAGGGTTCTGCTTGCTGTAAAGTTGCAGTATTATGTTTATATAAAAAGAAGAAACTGCTGGGAGGTTTTCTCCTCTCTCGGAAATCCATACCCATTTCTCCGTATCAATCAGTAATGCAGTATTGCAAAAGTTTGAAATAAAAGTTTGACATTGCTTGTGTGGTAGTTATTGTCGTCGTTTTCCTGTCTCAACAGTCCTAACAAACAGGTTCACAAGTTCAAACTAGAAACAGTCTTGCTGTCAATAACAGGGTATGTATAAAGCATACAGTGTGAACTGCCCTGTGTTGCCAGCAAAACAAATTAGATTCTTTTCACTGAAACCATCTTGCTGTCTCAATTGTTGTAGTCTTATTGACCTACAAGCGGGACGTAAGCATGCAGAACTTTCGCATCCGTGAGTCAGTCATAGTGGCTTTTAATCCAATATATCCAGCTAAGAGGAGAAAGAAAAGAATTCCTTGATGTGGTTGTTTGTTAATACGCCTTCCTCCTTATGGCTCATTAATTCACACAGTGTATTTTGGGGCTGGCTATGCAGGCAGGCAGTTGCTCTGAATGCCCCTCTTTCTTTCCTGATCAGCTTGATTTTCATGAGTATTGACTTGCACGAAGGACAGGGCACATCTGAATTGATCAGAAAAATGGCAGTAATTCCAAAGGAGACAAATTAAACTCAAGCAAGGCATTAAATGGACTCAAATTACTCCTATAATTAGGTCAAAAGCTGACCATATTTGTACTGTCAAACCAGTCTTCTCAGATGAACCAACATCTAAAAAAAAATGTTTTTAAGTACTGTTTTTAATGAAACGGAGGAACGACTCTCCCTAAAGATTCAAGTGCAAAGCAAAAGTGACTTGCTATTGCAGAAGCTGCCATTTTAATGGACTGTGGTGTATGTTTTAGTTTTCCATGGCAAAAGCAGCTCCTTTTCTAAAGAAAATGAGTAATTTTGGGTTTCTAGGGAATTTAATGAACCAAACACCTTGCCCGGACTTTCTTGCGTGTTACAGAAGTTGTGCATGTTCCTTGTATCTGCTGACTAGTAGAGGGAAAAGCGGTGGTAACGAAATCAGTACTAATGATGAAATCTGCGCCCGCTGAAAATTAATTTTCTGCATTTCTTCCTAAGAACAATATTTCACACCGAATCCACGGCCGACCAGTGTTAACGAAAAGAAAGCGACGTGCCGTAAAAACACGACAGCACGTAGGTTTATCCTAAACCCCACCGCGCAAGGTGACCTCATCTGGTACGGGGGGCTCGCTTCGGAGCGGAGAGGTGCCGGCCCACCAACGGGCTGTGCAGTAAACGCAAAGGAATTTCAGGGTGCCCCTGTGGCAGGGAGGGGGTGCGAGCGGCTCC